TCAGAAATTCATTTAATAACCTTTCCTGTGTGGTTTATTCCTAATGGTTATAGATTTTATAAATGGCACTTTTATGATTTCTTTTATTAACAGAATTCTGCTTGGTCAGAGTCGTGATGGCATTGTGTTCAGCACTGATGACTATTTTCGCCATCAAGATGGGTACAGGTATAATGTTAATCAACTTGGTGATGCCCATGACTGGAACCAGAACAGAGGTTTGTTTTGGGCCAAGTCTCCGGGATAGAATATTTGACTATGAGTCAGAAGACCTAGGTTTTTCTTGACTTCGATTTTTACCAGCTAAATGACTTTGGCAAGCCATTTAAATAGCTTTGAGACCCAATTTCTTTTCTGTTAGAGGTGGTGATAATTATACTTGCCTTTCTTGATTGGGGTTGTGTAAAGCAGAGAACTTAGATAAAGCATTTTGTGAACTGTAAATAGTGTACCAATACAAGCTGGTAAAATATTAGAGTTATGGAATATTTTGATAGGCTTTATTTTATACCTCATGAGTAAACTCAGAGAACTATGATAGTGTTATGTATCATAGTGTTATGTGTGATAGTGTTATGTTAAGTATTTCCCTGAGAATAATGCTAGTGTTTTCCAAGGCTTAATATAATGGCTGTGAATATTAAAAGTTTTTCTCATTGATGTTGCTCTACAAGAAACCTACTTAATAGATTTTTTAGGGGACACTGGTCAATTTCTGTTCATCGTTAATAGGGGTTTTTTAACGTAGGTTGCACATTTGAATCACTTAGGGACCTTTTAAAAAAAACTTATGTCTGGGCCTCAGCCTCAGAGATTCTGGTTAATTGATCTGGAGTGGGGCCTAAGCACTGGTGATTTTTGTTTTTTGTTTTTGGAAAGTTCTTCAGATGGTTCTAATGTGCAGTCTGAATTGAAACCTATTGATCTAGAACTTTAAGTAAATGTGTATGCTATTTTTTTTTTAAAGATGAACACATTGATGATTAAATAGCTTTTATTATGAAAAATTTTAAACCTAGATTAGAGAGAGTATAATGAATCTCGTAAACCCGTTACCAGAATTTTCTGTTATCAAGATTGTGACATATGGGCTTTATCCTTTTTGTTTTTATCTCCCTTCCTTTTTATTATAATTTGCTGAAGTATTTTAAAGCAAATTATAGACATTGTGTTATACATTTCAAATTAACTTTTTTACTTAATCACATCTTATTTAACTGCAATGCCATTATGGCACATTAAAAAGAGATACCTACTTCCTGTTCATTAGTTCTGGGAAAAGAAAAGATACCAATTCCTTGGCATCATGTAACCTAGTCTATAATTGAATTCCCCCTATTGTCTTAAAAAGGGGAAACAAGATCCTCAAAATACATTTTGTTTTATGTTTCTTTTGATTATATTAATCTATAGCAGTTTCCCTTCTTTTAACCTTCATGCTATTAGCTTGTTGCAGAAATGAGGTCATTTGTACTATAGAATGTTACATATTCTGTAGTTTTCCTTTTGCTTCCTACTGGTAACCATTTAACTTGCTCTTCTTACTCCTGTATTTTCTGTGAATGGAAATTTGCTCTAGACTGGAGGCTTGATTCAGTTCAACCTTTTTTTGTGTTTTTTGGCAAGCAAGTATTTAGTTGTCCCACTCTTGGTGGTGGTAGCCTTAATGAGTAGCTTCACAGGAATGGCCTGCTCCCTCTATTATCAAGTTCCCTGTCAGCCGTGTATCTGATGGTTTTACCCTACCATAAATTGTTTCCTGAGTCAGTTATTTCATTAAGAGTTGCAAAATGGTGATTTTTAGGTCCATTGTTCCTTCCATGTTTAGTAGCTAAAATTCTTCTATAATGAATTTTCTCTCAACTAAAGCTACTAACTAGAGTTGCCCTAAAGGGTAGTATATACAAGAAAAAAAGTATAAATGCTTTTCCTTTTAATTGTCAATTAGAGTAAGAAATATCAATGAGGGTATTTTTGAGCAAAACGTTTTCATTCTATTAAAGTTCATAGTTGTTTTTTTTTTCTTTCCTTTTTTGAGAGAGTCTCACTCTGACACCCTGATTAGAGTGCAGTGGCATCATCTTGGCTCACTGCAACCTCAGACTCCTGGGCTCAAGTGATCCTCCTGCCTCAGCCTCCCAAATAGCTGGGACTACAGGCCCACGCCACCACACCTGGCTAATTTTTCTACTTCTAGTAGAGATAGGGTCTTGCTTTTTGCTCAGGCTGGTCTCGTACTCCTGAGCTCAAGGGATCCTCCTACCTCAGCCTCCCAGAGTGCTAGGATTATGGGCTTGAGCCACTGTGCCCAGCCCTCTTTTTTGATTTTTTAAAATGCCATAGAACATTGTTGCCTAAATCAAATAATGATAGTATTGTAATTCCAAAAATGTTTGGAGTTATGTTTGGCCTAAATGGGAACAAGATTAGGTGATAAAGGGAATGAATAAAGACAGAACTATTATACGTTTGGTGGACTAGGAAATTTGTGCGGGGCATTTTTTCTCTTTGCAATACTAGAATATTTCATTAAAATATTTATGCCATGTGAATTATGTTGATTCTACTTGTTGAACAGAATAATGGTGTCTGGATAAACTACTGTTTGTTTTTTTTTATCAGTGTAATAAATATAGACTTGGATACCTTTAAATGTCAGGCACCTTTCTGGGAAAATCTATCTGCCTCATGTTTATTATTAGAAGAATCTAAATTAATTTTAGAACACTTATAAATTGAAAACATCTCCAGAGTGTCATTCTTCTCTTTCTTAGAGTATTACAATAATTAATTTGTTTACAAATTAACTCTCATTATTTGGGTATTCAAACATTGTTTACTTAGGAGCTCCATTTTTCTGGAGTGCACTGGACTGTCGTATTAGATGATGTATTAGATGATGATTATTTATGAAAAGAGGATACTCTACCCATTCCTGCAAATCAGAGATTTATTTGGTTAATAAGTTCCTTTTCTAGAATGCAACTCCTTGAATATGTGAGCCTAACTATCAGACATTGGATAACGGTTTCCATAAGTTTTTTTTTTTTTTTAAATGAAAGATTTGATCACTATGATTGGAGATAGAGCAGTGGGAGATGATAGCATCATCATGCTAGCACTAATGGATGATAGTAACCTGTTCATGACCCAGATTCTAAATTTCTTTTGGTATTTAGAGACATCTTCTCCCAAGAATGTATTCTACCATGGTTGTTATTCTAACTGACCTTTAGAATTCTATTTTAGACATCTGTATAAATGTTTTCATTATGTTGAACTTAGTGGAATTCTTAGTCGAATTCTAAGTCCTGAGAAAATTCCCTTATCTTTGCTTTTTGCCTCAGCCTTTTAAATTTTATCAAGTGTTCTTTTTTTTTTTTTTTTATTTCATTTCAGCATATTATTGAGGTACAGATGTTTAGGTTACGTATGTTGGCCTTGCTCCCCCCGCCAAGTCTGAGTTTCAAGTGTGTCCATCCCTCTGTCAAGTGTTCTTAATCTTAATCATTTTTCTTATCTGGTATGCCTAAGGGATATATACACTCCTGTCATTAACAGTGGCTCTCTGTGTCAGCGATTCTCACCTCATGGTAGAAAAGATGGCACTGGGATAGGGAGATAAAGTTTAGAAAAGTTCTTTTCTACTTCAGCTCCCAATTTGAGGATCATAGTCCTGAGACATCTCCACAAAGTCAATTGAACTGTGGTATTTAGCTACTTGGTGTATAAAGTTTTGATGGTAAGTAATGATAAATCAATAACTTTTTAATATAAGCCTTTCTTATTTCAAAACCATTATTTGTACATTGTAGGAAATTAGAAAATACAGATAAACATGAAATGCAAATATTCCTACCATCTACAGATAACTACTTTTAATATCTTAGTAAATCTTCTTAGCTCTGTATTTTGACCCAAGTAAGATCATATTTAACTATCGTCATGTAACTTGCTGTTTTCATTTAACAATCTCCATCTTTCCGTGTCAATAAATTTTCACCTCTTCTCATACTCAGTCCATATTCAGATGTAACTTGTTCCTTTATCGCCTATATTTCCCATAAATGAAAGTTAACTGTAGACTGAAGGCTTCCTTTAAGTTTAATAAAATGTCCCCAAAATGTCTTTTATAATCAGGTTGTCAAAACTAGCATCCATTCTGGAGAATACACCTGGCATGTGGTCATGTCTCCTTAATTCCCTTTTAATCTAGTGGAGTTCTTTTTTTTTTTTTAAATGGAACTAACTCGAGATTGCACAGCTTTGGTTTTAAGTACAAAGATGTAGT